CTTCAAATTATTTCAATTCAATCTGTTTACAATGTCATTAAACATTATATTACAATTTTCAGAATATTATTGTTATAGCGAAATATCGTAATGGCCGCCATGTTTGGATTTTGACAGTTCTCTGTTTACTGAATTTTCGTCTACATTGAAACGAGTTATAAATGTTCTTTAACCCAGACGAGAAGCTTATCAATTACTAAAATATAACAACTCTTTTTGTCGTAATTTATCAAACACTTCATCCCAAACATTTATACTAATAGTAATTAAGTTAACAATATTAGTTACCACTAGCACTGTTGGAGTGCGGCGTCGTTACTTTGACATTGGAGCGGTGGTCGAGTGCACTCGTGTGGTGTGGCTTGCCAGACTTAAAGTAACCTAGTGTAAACAATTCATCTATAGATAAGATTGTCTATGGCTCTCAAACTGTACAGTCGAACTACTGACCTGTAAAAATGGACTGGCTACAAAAATGAGTTTTTTGGTGATGATGCGGTTTGTAGCAGTGGTGTAGAACTAATCAACAGGTCCGTCTAAATCGGTGGGATGAAAAAGCTGCGATTTCTAAACAAACGCTTATCCATTTACAACTGCGAGAATTACATAGTAAACAGAAATATTTTTGTACACACATTTGGTAACCATTTCAAATCATAGTAGCTAGAAGCTTGTTCTAGGACTTGGTTTACTGCAATAGTCCAATGACCAGATTTGAAACTAACCACCAAAAGATCGGCGACCCAAATCCTTGATATTCAGCTATTGCCGCTTGATTTGATCCTAAGTAGGAAGAGATTTCTTACATTGCCGTAAAAATAAACGAATTTTTCGAATTTCATTGTCTTTCTAGCGTTTTTATTAATTTCGTAAATCTTACGGTAATATTATGAATTTTATTTAGGGTAAAATAAGATAAAAATCTAAATATATTTAAGTTAATTGCTATTAAAGAATATTAACTTAGTTTGGCCGATTTGTTATTCGAAAAATAAGTAATTTGTGGCATAAGAACTGTTCTATGAAAATTCAGACGAAAGTTTGAGAAACTATTTCACTGTATAGGCCAGGCCGGATCTGTTACTTTCCACATAGATATGAGTTCTGAGTATTGAATTAGTTAAACAACATTGAGAACCGCTGACCAAAACAAAAATGTACAATGCCTCTCTGTTACATTTAGTTAAGTGGTCGACACGAGAAATGCTATTTAACTTAATTGTAAAGTATTGCAACATTCAAAGTAGAAAGGTTTATTTACGAACTAGCTGCCGCCTGCAACTTCGTCCGCGGTATTAAAAAACTAGCCTATATGTTCTTCCAGACATCATCTACATCTGCGCCAAATTTCATCAAAATCTGTTGAGCTGTTCCGGAGATACCTTCTAACAAACATCTGTCCAAAATTTCACATCTATAATATTGGTAAGATATCACTTAGCCTTCTTTAAAGATGTTTCTTTGTTCTTTGCTTATAAACTTTTGTTTTTCCTTTGGCTGTGTTCATAACCAAAGTATAACGGGGTGAAAGAGATAATTGTAACATGTTTTAGCGGCAATCGGTAGGTGACTTCAGGGGGGAGTGCGGGTGAGGAGGAGGCAAGGCTCGGGAGCGCCGGGTTCGAACTCAGACCGGTCCCATCTGGGCCGACCGTTACCCAACCCACGTGCCGCGGTATCTTTCGTCGAATGCTTGCATTTGAAGTGATAGCTTAATGGTTAAAAGTATGGCGAATGTATGCATAAAGTCTTGGATTCCATTTGCACTTAAAATATTTTGTTATATCTGTTTTTGATAGTTAATAGTTGTGTCTTTTTTAAGTAAACATAGGTATGTTGCATTGTGATTACGTTTAAAAATAAAACTTGTAACAATTTTTTTTTACTAAAAGCACATTCTAAAGTGTTTTGAGGTTAACATTTTGTAAATCGAGGTTCGTTCCTTCCATCGAAATTTGTGATAGATGTAGAACTAACCCTAGAAGAACACATAAGCTACTAATATATTTTAATACCGCACGGAATCGCGGGCGACAGCTAGTGCATGCATAATTGAATTATGGAGAGAAAACTTTATGGCAATAAAGAGTGATAGGTTCACGTTGTCCTAAATATACAGGTTCTAACAATTCTAAATGCTTTTTGTTGTAACCTTTTTTTAAAATAAAATATTATTAGAATTTTAATCAGTGCTTAAAGAACGTTTTATAGACTGTGAAGTTGCACATATTGTATAAAATTTGCTTGTAACATTTTTCGGGAAAAAAAATATTTTACGCGTGCATATATTATAAATATTGTCTAAAGTGATAATTCAAGTTTCAATAATAAATATTTTTATTCCTTATAACTTTTAAATAACTTACGAATGTTACTGTTACTGTTTAAAATAGGTAAGATAATGGTAAGTTGTTTTAATGATATTTTAGCATTTACACATTTTGAAAAAAAGTCGATTTCATTCTTTGACAGCGGCATACGAATTTTATGACCACATTTTAAAGTTCCGATTTTAAAGCTTTTGGTTATTCGACCTCCGTTTGTATTTTCTATTATTTCGACCTTTGATTTCTTTTATTATTATCAAACAATTTTAAATAAGCTACACCTTTGACTCTGGGTTATAATTTAACCATATGCCGGCTTTCTTCACACTCATATAGTTCTGTTAGGTAATTAAGGTAGGGTAAAAAAAAAATAATAGCTGTCGCGAATTAAAAAGAAACTTAATAAGTAAAACAAAAAATGTGTTCTTCCAGACTACGTACTACATCTATGCCAAATTTCATATAGATCCGTTCATCAGGTCCGAATTTATATCACTAGATGTTGCCCGCGACTCCGTCCACGGGGTATTAAAAAAACATAATAAGTAGCCTATGTGTTCTTCCAGATTATGTTCTACATGCACGCCAAATTTTATCAAGATCTGTTGAGCAATCCGGAGACACCTTTAAACAAACAACCATCCATCCATCTAAACATTTGCTTTTATAATATTAGTAAGAAGTTAGTTAGATAAATGTTTAGTAATAAACGAAGAAATGATTTAAATAATTGGATATTTTAATATGTTGGGTTAAAATATAAAGGATCTTGGAACAGGTTTAATTAAAGGATTGTGTGATGCAACTCAGTCGGCGCTAACTCGTGTCCAAAGCTCCGTTAGGCTACGTCGCCCCGCAGTGAGACTCGACCCGATACTAAGAGAGGTCGCACACAAGAGGATATTCCGAAGCTAAGCTAAGACTTAATTTAAATAACGATTTACCAAGTTAGATAGTTAAATAAATATATGTAGAATTAATTATAATTATTGTAAATCCTGGGCTTGTATGGAACGGTGACGCAACGCGGAGGGACTTGTAAAGATCGGTAAAGTCTTGTAACGTGCCACCATGACCATGACCACAGACAGAAAAAGAAACAAAAAAATAAAAATAAAAATGAGGACTAAGAGAAAATAAGCTTAGTATTATTCAATAAAGTTCGCTAGATGCGCCGTTATTAAAATATTACTGTTTTCAGATATCTTCGCGGATCTAAACTCCGCACGAGTCGCTATGCAGAACACAAATCCAAGTTTAGCCGCGCGTAGCGGGATGCGGGGTGAGGGCAAAAAGCAGATCTCCGATGACCTAAGGCCGCCAAGATATTTGAAAAGAGTTATACTACTAAAACCTATTATATAAATCTTATTAAATCATCAATAAGGTAAAATAACTGCCTATCTTTTGGTGTACAACTAACTTAAACGCCACTACTGTTACGGCACCTAACGTTAGCGGTGATCGGGTCCAATCAGAGCTTCTTTGTTGTATTTTTGTAATTCATGAAGAGATGAGATGTATGTTAAATAAAATGCCCTTAACTTTTACTTCTGTGCTTGTAAAAGAGGGTCAACTTATTGCCCCTTTTCTTTGTAGAAGCATCTCGCAAAAGAGGATAATCTGTGCACTAAAAGATGATGAATACTTATCTTCTAAGATACGAAGCTTCTATCATAATCATCAGCTCACTATACGTCCTTACCGAGGGGCTCGAAGCCTACCCTAAGTTAAGGGCGACTAGACCATAGTCAATCACGCTGGCCAAGTGCGGGTTGGTTGACTTCACAGATATCTTTGAATTTCTTCTCAGATATGTGCAGCATCACGATGTTTTCCTTCACCGTAGCTTTTATACAATATTCAAATTGTTATTACAAAACTTTACACGCCTTTTAGTTCATAAAATTATCTTTAAGGTTAATAGAAATAGAGGGATAATATGAAGGTTTTTAAATAACCAAGTTCTTATTTTAAAATCAAGATTTTTATCTATATTAATTTGCAAATTTCTAAGTTTTAGTCAAAACGTTGGGTTATTTAAATTTGAAGCCTACTTATATCACCTGTGAACATGGCACACCTTCTAGGCAATTAGTTAAAAGATTTACAAAAACTGCAACATTAGGATGCGCAGGCGCAGGTCGTGCGTGTGTGTGTACATGTGTATGATGTGGTAGTATGCGTGTGAGCCAGCTGTCGAGTGTCGGCAGCTGCGCCGGCAGATTGCCACGACCTGTCGCTTGTAGGTGACTACATTTAAAACATTTATATGGATATTCCATCTACTGCAATCAATCCTAATGTTAAGATTCATTAAGGACTACATACATTTCTAACAACACTCGGCAGTCGCTTCAGAGCGAGATAAACATATGATAATCCTATACTTTGCTAATCGAAAACTTAAAAATTCTTTTAAAAGTTCTTGCTTGCCTTAACAATGTTACAGTCAGGCTATTTTTCTAACAATAATCGTATATAAATTTGTTTCTAAACGAAATTGAAGTCCTGTTTTTTCTTTACAAGTGTGTGGTTAACCTAACACTACCTCAGTTGCGATGTACACGATGATTTGTTGAAGGGAGTTTCTTATTTATCAATAATTATCCTTAACAACGAACATAACGAACAATAATTTGATTATTGAATGCTGTTTTACCAGCACAAGTCACTAGCAGGCAGTCGCCACAGTCTGAGATAAATCTTACAACATTTACCGTAGGTTTCCGAGGCCAGGAACCCTGTTTAAAACATATTGTTATCTCTGTTTTGTCGTAGATAGAGATTTTTGCCTCAGAAACCAATATATAGTTGTTAGCATTAAAAAGTCGACAAGCCATCTTCAAGTATTATGCCAGCCATTTTAATCACCAAACTATAGATGTTTTGATTCATGGTCAATTAACTGGAAAAAAACAAAGAAGCATTAAATTTTTTAACAATATAGCTAGTAATAAAAGTTACCAAAACTTTCGCACATATTATATATAATAAATAAAAAATAAATAAATTAATTCAGTTAATCGCTTAATTCAATCTGTTTTCACGTTAATCTCGAGTATTTTATGTCGATTCAATAGAACTAACCTTAAAATTTTCTACCAAATCACTAGTAGTATTTCAAATCGATTATTTCGCCCCCCCAACGTCGCATTAAGCTTGGCTATCCAACAGGAGCATGTATTGTAAAGGACACAGATGTTATAAATTCTCAAAGACAGAAATCAATCTTGCGTATGAACAAAGGCGGTCGCATAATGGCGGGAAAGGTGGGCGCGTGCCCCGCCAGCTGCCGCGACATCTGCCGTACAAGATATTAATTATATTGAAATCTCTTCGTAAAAACTTAAGAATTTTTCAATACCAAAATATACTTGACACGTCGAGATAATAAAAATTAATTAATCTATGAATATACCTTTTAATTGTTCAACTTTTTCCACTGACATTCGAACGCATTCGATAGATGCTCAAGTGACAGATTGATTTTTTTAGCGACCATAAACAAATTTATTTTTCATTATGCCAGTGATTTTCTGCCATGTGACTTTTTTAAAATAATGAGGTATCCCACGATTACAATATGACATAAATTTTAAGCGGTTTTAATGCATTTACGTCCATCAATGGAGGATGGGATTTCGGACTGTGCCAATAAGTTTTATTTTATCACTTAAAGTTATAAGAAATTATTTGTTATTTACATATATTATATCGATTCCATACTTGTAGAATCCATCTTTACGATTCTAGAAAACTAGGCAATAAGTATCTTTGATAACCGTTCTTAGGCATTGGGAGAAAAACATTTGTAATTTACTCGCTATCAAGCATATGTGCGCAGGATGTTTAGGCACAAAGATGCTGACTTGTCTAGGCAGTACTGTGAACTACATATGTAACATTATACTTTCGTTTAGTGAGAACAAATCAAGGGACTTCCATCCACTGGTACAGATTGATAAGACCTAAAGTTACTCTTATCTTGAACTGTTTTGTCTAAGAAGGGTGGCGTGATGCTGTTTCATTGATTCTCAGAAGGTTTAACTATGTAATTTAATGTGGTTTAGTGGTTAACTAGATACTTACTTATGTTTTCTATTATTAATAATATTTATTCAATATCAAACATATTAAGTTAGAAAATAAAAAAAACATCCAAAAAATGTTAGGTAATGCTTTCTACAACCAAGTTAGGTTATAAAGATTAAAAAAATCGTAAATATTAGTATTTACTATTTATTAAGATATCCAAAATCCAGCTTCGTTATAACACTGTCTTCAGAACTATTGTCTTACAAAGAGTATTATACTATAAGCCAACCTTTTTGGACGAAACCAATTTTTTTTTCTTTTTTCCAATCCAGGATCGGAGCGAATTTCGTACAATTTAGAACAAAAGGAGCTCACGGTTTACAAATTGTGTTACGATTGTTATTCCATTTTTAATCTTATTGTAAAGGAATTAAAGTCTATATTGTGTTATTTATATAATAAAGCGCGGCCTCGCTTCAAGCGGCCGTTCCGAGAAAACATAAAAATGTTCATTCCATTGAAATTTTTGCCAACAACTCCAAACATATTATTTTACTGTTAATAATAACAAAGTTATACGATCACCTAAGCTCTCCATTGTTGTACTATCTAAGTTTAATTATTATTCATAGTACATTGTAAAAGTACGAGAATTTTGTTACAATAGTTGACAATTGTTCGATTGTAACTATGGTTTATTTAAATGCTGTTGTTAGGCACAACTACAGACTGAATGGTCAGTTTACGAGTAATTTTTATTGATTATTATATTCTTATAAAGAAAGTTTATGTAATTATTCATATTCATATTTAACAAGAATGATGAGACGTAATGTAATTTATGGCTCTTCTTATTGTTCTTTTCTGCGATAATGAGAGGAATGGATGAAACCAACGACTAGTCCGTTACTAAATCTACACTACTATACTCCTTAACTTTTGAGCGATTTTGAGTGTGGCGGATAGGATATGTGCCTAAATGTACGTTTAATTTCTACTGGTATGTGATTTTTGCATACTATTCTATTTCTATTATACATTATTTACTTTCAATATGATTCACTTCTGTTTGCTAGTTTCCCGCCATCTTCGCGATCTGTCAATGTCAAAGTTTTTTTTAATTAGTCCGTACAAAGCCATCGAGTAGTGTGAGCCAAAACAAAATATACGTAAATCAGTCGATTGATAACACAGGCTAACTGCATTACGGTAAAAGCGACCTGATGTCCATTTCCCCGTGGCCCAAGTTTGAATAAGTCGGCCCGGGTGGGTCAATGACCCCGGTTATGTACACGTTAAAGCCTTCTCCACACTATCGCGATTTTGTTATATGACGCATCTGTGTTTACTCTATGAACATGTGACGCATCTGCTTTTACACTAAGAACATACTAATATTACAACACATACTACTGCCTTACTTAGAATCTTTAAGTGGTCCCCTTAGTGTAATTATTTAATATAAGGTATTCATAATAAGACCAACTAACGATCCTGAGTATGATTGACAGATTTATATTTCATACATAATTGTAGGTCCAAAGGAACTATTTGGGTGTAATCTGGCTCCGACAAGAAAACTTCATCTTTCCAAGCATAAAACATCGGTTTCACTATTTTGTTTTATTTAGGTCTAAGCTCTGTCCTAGTAATAATAGATGTGAGGGGAATATTTAGTACATAAGACATGCATAAATAGAAATTTTGAATTAGACGTTTTAACACTTGGACAAAGAAATATTAGGTTTTTTAAATTAGACGATTATCTTGCTTAGTAACAATCAAATCCTAAGCCCTTAAATTAATATTTCTGTATTACATAATCAAACATTTAATTTTACATCTTACAATAAAAATTATTTTACAGTTTTGTTCATAAAGTTTGGCAAGTGTATTATTATTTTTAATCTGTTAAACTTCTCCGAAAGCACTGCTTGCTCTTTGATTTTCTTTAAAAAAAGTTGTTTTTATTTTATTCAATTAACATTATTCTTTGATAAATCATTAATATGTAAATAATATGCTGCCACGCGCCGCGCTATGGGTCGCAGTCTGTTTTATGGGTTCTTTATTAATATATTTTGTTAATAACAAAAAAGGAGACGATTGATAACCTCCTTTTTGAAGTCGGCTAAAAACAAGCTACAACTTTTGCATGATAACATAGCCTAATGTAGTAGTGAGATGTAAAATCGGAAACTTACGCCTTGGTTGTTTTTTTTTTTAAATTAATAACTCTGTTAGTTTTTAGCTACGTTTTATAGATTCCTTGTCATTTTTGTGTTGTCCTTTTATCTAGATTATCTGTGTATCAAATTTCATTTGTTTAGTAGTTTATACGTGAAATAAGGACAGACAGGGAGATTTCCTTTCGCATTTATAATATTAATAAGGAAGTAAAGATTTATCTTTAATAAGTACGTTAACTTTTAAAACAGTTGTCTTAAAACATTAAATGGTTCCTATTCATTGGTAGATGCATTAAATTAATAAATTCATGTTATTAAGTAATTGAAGAATAAATATTTCACGATATATCCGTTATTTATAATCTGTGACTCGGCACGTCACGAGTGTATGTCGGACATTTTATCACATTATTTGAACAAGATATTAAAATAAACTGGCCATGGTGCATACTGGATATAAGTTCAATTAGGATATTTAAAAATGTTTCTTTCTATATCCTTCTGTTCTTGTATTTGACACTTACATTGAATACGACAGTCGAAATCATACTAAATATTAGTAGCTAGTACTAAATATAAGCTAATTGTACCTCGCGACTCCGTCTGCGCGGAATAAAAAAAAGATAATTAGTAGTCTATGTGTTCTTAAAGAATATGTTCTACATCTATGCCAAATTTCCTTCAAACAAACATGTCTCCATCCATCTAAATGTTCGCATTTATAATATTAGTAAGATATCTTTTAAACTGCTGCACATATCTCGCTAAAATTTGGTAAAGATGTAGAGCCTAGTCTGGAAGAACACATGGGCCACTAATTTTTTTTAATTCCGCGCGGATCGAGTTACGATCGACAGCCAGTCAAATATAAATTAACGTTAAAAATTGAAAACTGAATTCATTGCCGTAGGCTTCCAAAGGAGAGGAAGAGATACTCTAAATTAAGGCAGTAGTTTTTTTCCGTCAGAAATGGCAATATCGCTTTACATAGCTACAAAATATCTACATGGATTTGCTATTCTAGCGACATTTGCCGCTTGCTTGTTAACCATTGAATAATACAAAAAAATGACTAGAAGAGATAGATTCCAGCGGCAATGCGAGGCAGGAAGTCGCGCGAAAACCGTACGGTTGTGGAATGCAAAGATATGCTTGAACGTGTTTAGGTATGTTGGCGATACGCCACATAGATCCTATGGAACTGTGCAAAGTAAGGTAAATACCATGAATTTTCATTGCCGAAACAATATATTATAATGTAAAGACATCTCTGTCATTGTTATAGAAAAAACAGAGATAAATATATTATATTATGTATTTTGTTAAGATTTTTTTGGTGGAAATAAAAAGTGTTACGTACACATTTACTTTGACGATGCCAAAGAGTGAATTTTTAATTTGTGGCACTTGACTGCGATAACCATTAATTAATCGTAGGTTTGTAGGCATTTGTGGCTGCACTTTTAGATGACCTAGGTTTTCTGGCTTGAACTTTAAGACATCTGTAGATGTAGTTAGGAAAGATTTTATTGTTTGCCATGAATGTGCTCTGAAACTATTGAACCGATTAGATAAATTTTTTCACTGTTGGAAAACTACAATATTCGTGGGTGAACTCCGCGTTGACGAAGTCGCGGGCAAATGCTATCTTACTCTACTACATGGATTTCGCTGAAATTTGGGATAAATGCAAAAGAGACTGGAAGAACACATAGGCTACTAAGTTTTTTAATTCCGCTCGGACAAAGTGGGCAACTGCTATTGGAAATAAAAGGAACAAAGCCGGATGGGGTTGCCAGTATATAAGCGAAAATACATAATTTTATTTCGTTGCTTGCGGTTTTTTTCCACTGGCAATGAGATATCCTGGACAGGTGAGATGTGAACAGATGGCGCTGCGGACGCGCCAGCTTTTGGCGAGTCGTTACCTCCATTTATAAGTCTCTTTTATATTGTAATTGAGTTTTATAATGTATGGTTAAGGAAGAATTTAATAACCAACAGTCTAATGAAACATTGGCCCGCTTTTCAAATTGCGAATGGAATATTTAGTAGTAGGTAATACTTCATCTATGTTATTAATTGCTGTAACTGACGTACTGAGGGCGTAAAGGCTTTTGTAGAATATCAGTGTTTTTGCCCCCCCCCTCGGGGTAATAAACATACAGCTGAGCAAAGGCCCTATCTGTTCTGCATTGCAACGCTTCCTTGTAATTGCAATGTTTTTGAACGGATTA